AGTCACCAAAGTCCAAACAGAAAACACCACAATAAAACAGAAATCTGGACATAGCGCAAGATAAATAAAACGATAGCTATGCCGATTTGCTCTTATACATTAACATACCACAGTGAAGAGTATGGTCGTTTCTATGCGAATTCAACTTCATGATTGGGAACGGACTTCGTCCTGACACAAGAATCAAATGAAGCTTACGCTGGTGTTGATTAACCGAAGGTTGGGCAATAACCGTCTGCGTAAAAATGTAGGTTTCTAATTATATGAGCATAATTTACTACTGGTAAAAATTTGTTGATAAATTCATGTTAGTTTGGTTTTGTTTTAGACCTGTAGAAACATCTCTCCAGCGAAATTTTCATTAGTCCACATTTCGCCGATAGGCAACTCCAGTATATCTAAACCTTTGCACTAGTTTTTACGACAAGATAGGGGTACGTGATATCCGACTCAATCCCCAATTACTCACCCAAATTAGGTCTTTCAAATGCATTATTGTCGGATTACTCCGTAAATCTCATTTCATCCCATTTTCCCATGATTAGTTTATTGAAATCTGCACCGTAATCGTATCTTACAAGTGTGATGTATACGTGCAGATCCCTAAGGAAGTATGAAGACTGATATGGAAAGAGCTTGCCGGAGGCTACAGAAGAATAAACATGTTAAAAAAAACGCACTCTATATTACAAAAATTAGATTTACGTAACAGACCGCGGGATTTCACGCTGGGGTATTACGTCTTTGATAGATCACAGAACATACAAGCCTTTTCGCTTACGTATTTTTACTTAAACTTTTCCGGCTTTATTGTTACGATTGCAAATACCTTCAGCCTTAATAAGGAATTCATCATATCGTTTAAGCCACGTGTATAACAGAAGCCCTTAGTGGTCATTATAATGCACACATCATTTTGGACTTGTCTAGTAGTAAGCCAAAATACGATCTGTTTAGATCCCAAGTCACACCAATGCTTCTCTGGCAGTAGCTAAGTTCCTTATCATTAGCAAATATCTCGTAGCTGGAACGCACCTGTTGCAACAAAGCTTCTATGAATGGAAATCCAGCTTTCAGGGCTGCGACATAAAGCACTGCACAGTATGGTATAGGAGGCAGTCAGGCGCTCTTAAATAACTGGCCGGATTAGTGTAACATAGCTTCGGCTATATTTTTGATGTATTGTCTATAGAAAGTAACACTTGGACATTTTAATTCCATCTCATTTGTTTAAGCACGAATTCATAACCTTGTTTTTTTATTATGTACATACAGATCATTTATAACTTTATACTATACAGTAGTCAATAGCAGAAGAATTGTTGATTGGATAACTTTCTGCCAACCATCGAAACTAGTTCAATTTTTGTTGAATAAACTTTTCTTTTCAGCTTTTCTGACTAACGAATGTGTCCGGAAGTCCGTTACATCAGTAAGGTGCCTCAGCGTACTGAAAGGAAAAGTCACTTCGATTGGCCTATAACCCGCTTCACGCCATCAAAATAAAATAGTACAACAAGTTGTTAGAAACCTACATTTTTCAGCAGGCGGAAACATAAAACCCACAATAATTTTTCGACAATTCATTTGAACGACCTAGTATTGCATTATACGTTGATCGTGCAAAAGTTGTTCGTCTGAGGAAATTTGTGGGTATCGTCCCATTTGGTAGAATCATGAAACCTACAACAGTTCCATCCCTTTGGTAATCTAATCAGTAACAAATCACTAGCTGCAAGAAAACAAATTTTCCTAGAGTCCATACGGAATCATAGTTCAGCACACGGTCGCAGAATGTTCGGCCATTAAAGAAAGATGGTATACGTGTTAATTTTGAGGTTATTTAATGGAATTTGAACACATAATGAAATCGTAAACGGATCGGTTGTAAGGGTTTCAGAGAAGTTGAGAACATGTAAGTTCTGATGAATGGACAGAAGACGTTTGTTAATTGCTTACCGCCATAGATTACGACCATAGGCTACCGAGTTAATTGGACCTCGGATTTCAACATCCTGGCCGGTCGTCGGTACTCACATATTCCAAAACCCGCTACCGCCACAAATAATAGATCCTGTTCTCTACTGTGTCTCTAAGAGATACCCAATTCGACCCCGAGGATATCCTAACATGTATTCCTCAGCTCTTTATTGACTTACCAGTCAATGACCTAACGAGTGATCATAAAACTTTTTGTTGTCTTGCTACTGAGATTTTGATACTGACCAACAGTCTTCCAAATATGTTGTTAAAACCATGTAAATAAAACGTAAATCTTCAGTTCAAGCAAGTTACGCACTTAGACTATTAAATAAAATCTGCTTAATTAAACCCTGTAATGCTTGGAAAATTTATTTAGTAGGTTGCTACCTATTGAAGCCGTCAATAAACTTTGACATTACTTTGAAGTAGTCTAGTTAACAATAAATATATCACTGGTCCAAGGTTACAAAATGTCACTCAATTGCGTCATGCAACAGTACGTGTTAACAAGTTTTATCTGAAAGCATTTGGTTTAACTTACAAGCTGGGTTTATGAGCTTTGAAAGTGTCGCTTGGTTTTCCATTTTTCACAACAACCGTATCTCAGATTGTGGTGGCTGTTACAGTGCTTTTCCCCCTAATACTTATTGACCCGTAGAACTGAAATCCAGAACAATCATGGCAGCAGTGTGCAACGAATTTTTCGAAATTCCCCTGGAATATAAACACAGTCGATTTTTACGTTCAGTCGTTGTTCTATTTCTGTTACTCCTTAGGAGAACAAGGGCTTGACCACGAACAGCCCCAACGGGACAGCGAACCCGGGTATGTTTTTTTTCGTCTGTTGTGATATTTTTCTTCTCCTATGACCGTCTTAATAGGGGATGCAGGTTCTCAAAGTGAAAAAGAATACCGTGTTTTGTACACAACATATAATTTTGTCAACTTTTACGAAAGTATGAAAATAACAAATAAGATTACGGTTTGGAAATTACGTTTAAGTTTCCCACACCCGTTGAACCATTAATCCACTGGAGAAAGAAACATTGGACCGAAGCAATCTGTATTTTTTGTCTGTTTTACACAATATGTAGTTTTACTTCCTTTACTGTGCTTTATAACGTTTCATTTTAAGACCTGTTCTGTCAGTGAATCGGGTCTAAACACAACTGTTTCGTCCTGATTGGGAATCACCGGCGGAATTCATCTTACCAGATTCAGAGACTTTTAAAATCGCGAACATCTGGTCGATGGCTGAACACTTAACTGCGTGGTAACGAGCAGATGATCAGCAACTTGCCTAGCTCTCAATTACTTGTGTGATTATTGATATCCAAACACATCCAGTTTCCACTGATGAGCTAGTCCTATATCAGTCAACCTTGTGTTGCATAATGGCCTGAAAAATTCCTTAGCAACAACGGCACGAACATGACTACCTCTTATACATATTCTAGCGCAATGCACTCTTCAACTCTGCGTCGTCATTCAAATTTCACGAACAGAAGACTTGTTGCCCTGTCTCTAGTGCTATTCGGACTCAAACGTTTCTGTTGCGCACTACTAAACATTCCTAGCAAAGAAGGAAGCTGTACGGTGCTTACAGGCCTTTCATCATGAGGTAATTTTACCTATGAAACGAGTTTTTCACTGGAGATTCGAAAACGCAGCACAAACTACAACCTGGTTTCAGTATTCTTGTTCCAGTTGCCGTTCGTTTTCCGGTAGTTTATGATTTCGTGTCCAGTATTTCATGGCTCAGTTTGCTCTTATTATTGGTTATGTTGACTAACAGTGAACAAACGGAGATGATCATCTCGGAAAGTGTAAGACGATCCTTAGAACAACGTTAAACTTTCAATACCTATGACCGTCTTAATAGGGGATGCAGGTTCTCAAAGTGAAAAATAATACCGTGTTTTGTACACAACATATAATTTTGTCAACTTTTACGAAAGTATGAAAATAACAAATAAGATTACGGTTTGGAAATTACGTTTAAGTTTCCCACACCCGTTGAACCATTAATCCACTGGAGAAAGAAACATTGGACCGAAGCAATCTGTATTTTTTGTCTGTTTTACACAATATGTAGTTTTACTTCCTTTACTGTGCTTTATAACGTTTCATTTTAAGACCTGTTCTGTCAGTGAATCGGGTCTAAACACAACTGTTTCGTCCTGATTGGGAATCACCGGCGGAATTCATCTTACCAGATTCAGAGACTTTTAAAATCGCGAACATCTGGTCGATGGCTGAACACTTAACTGCGTGGTAACGAGCAGATGATCAGCAACTTGCCTAGCTCTCAATTACTTGTGTGATTATTGATATCCAAACACATCCAGTTTCCACTGATGAGCTAGTCCTATATCAGTCAACCTTGTGTTGCATAATGGCCTGAAAAATTCCTTAGCAACAACGGCACGAACATGACTACCTCTTATACATATTCTAGCGCAATGCACTCTTCAACTCTGCGTCGTCATTCAAATTTCACGAACAGAAGACTTGTTGCCCTGTCTCTAGTGCTATTCGGACTCAAACGTTTCTGTAATACTAAACGCAATTACGGATACTTACCTGGTAATTTTTCATTTTGCCCAAACGTGAATGAATAAAAATCGTTTCTTACAGCGAGTCGTACAAACGTTTGAGGTGGGTTGCATCACAGATTGCCTGCCATGCATGTATAGAAAATGTGTGTTTCCTTTATTGCAAACAGACTTCTGCCCAGGCTAATGATTCAGGGTTGGCTTATCGGTGAAAACCTCAACAGAAGGCTAAATTGGGAATATTCAGAACGTTATAGCTGGACGTAAGTTGCACCAAATTTTGTTAAATTTTTATGCTCGTAAATCTGTTGGCTGTATTTTGTGCTTAAAAAAAAAACAGGAAAAACAGAAGACTTCTCTCCACCTTGGTTAACCCAAACTTATCATCATATACTCAATTTTACTGACAAAAATCAAGTGATGGCATCGAATTTTCAACCAACTTCTGTATTCCTGACCAACCTTTGCCAGATTTCCTTCATCATTTTGTATGGAACATCGTAATTTTCATTCAATACTGTGGAAAGATTCTGAGCAAACTTTTTCACTATTTTGACGTTTTCGGATGGTGCCAACCATTTCGTCATAGCTCAATTCCCTAGTTAAATCATAAAATAAATTTTAATATTTCAGGTCCCAGTGACCTAACTGCTAAACCGACTTAGAGTGAAGTTTAACTTGATTGGGTCATCTACTGCTACCCCTCTAAACTGCGTGAATTACCTGCGACAGACAAACACCTTACTGGCTGTGCTATTTCTGCCGCAAGTATCGTCCCCCCTATATCAGTTAACCTTGTTTTGCATAATGGCCTGAAAAATTTCTTAGCAACAACGGCACGAACATGACTACCTCTTATACATATTCTAGCACAATGTACTCTTCAACTCTCCATATTGATTTTCTACTTTTGTTTACAATTTTACTAAGAGATGCCCGACTTTTATATGGAAAGATATTCCATAGCAATGAAACTCTTTGATCCACACACCTCGGTAGGCAAATGAAACATGCGATTCACACCGTCGTAAATTTATTTAACATCTAGATGGACATAGAAACTGAGGCTTGCTTTCCTGTCCAAACCAACGGGTCAAGATTCCTTAACTGGTAAGTAAAATTCTTCAACTTTGCATGTCGAGGAGGGTACGTACATATATATATATATATATATATATATATATATATAAAGGGGGAATGAGGAGATATCACATTATTTGTGACAAAATAACAACCCCGTGGTCACTAAGCTACTGGAATGACAACCTTATTTTAGTCAAGCAAAAGTTTCAAACTTTTGCGTGAGTTTCTTTTTGATCCAAATGTTAGAATCGCCTAGCTGGTTGAACTACGTAAACGTGCGTTCTCACAAATTCTGATCGACTGACAGGTCTCTCATCATCCAGTTTGTGCTTTTGATGACTTCTAAAGGAATATTCGACCGTTCCAGTAACACTAGTTTAGGAAGTGGTCGGAGTAAGTAGTACATCACTGGACAGGACAACCTCCAGCCAGTTGCGCCAACAGCCTAGCGCAACCCACATCCGGTATGCCTCCTTCTTCCAATATAACGTGGTTGACAGATTATGTTCAAAGATGCGTCAAGTGATATATGAGTTTGATTTAGTTACCATAAGTTTGTATGTATCTTGGACCGTTTGAGAGCAATATTGCTTACCAGGGTGAATACTTCAGGGAATTTTATAAGCTCAGGAGAGACTAACTATAGAATGCACACTCACTGGCCAAAAATTAATTGTTCAACCGTTGCACCCAACGAATGAATCAAATGGTATCCTTTTGCCTTTTGGTCTTCATCAACAACCCTGATCTACGAGTGATGGCTTCTGTCTCCAAACGGTCCAAGATAGTGGTACAATGCTTGCTCTTTCGAGGGCAATATCCCTCCCTGTGGTACCAGAATATTTCGTTGTTGGGCGTCTCTTAGATGAATACATATCCTATGTGAACTTGGCTGACGAAGTATTAGATACATCGAGGATTCCAAAATGAGTACACTTAGCTCTCTGAATATCCAATCTCCTTGCATATCCGTCATATGAGTGCGATGACTGTTAACCAGTGGTCATCTAGAACCTAAAAATTAAGTACTCTGGCCTTACTAGCAGAAAGACTACTGGATGAAATTTGTCTGAAGGACTTTTCTTACATATCACCAAAAACAAGATCATCAGTGGAATTTGATACATCCTGAGCTATCATGCGTGGCACTATCTTACACTCCGACTTAATTGGCGTCAATCCAAGTAGTACCCATGATGTGTTCTACCAGACTGTACGGTGAGAGTGGCCCGCATTGAACCGTGAATCAGATTAAGTCAACTCAAGCTGAGGAAAACCTATTGGATATCCGGACGTCCAGCAATGTTCAGGATACCAACCATTTGGCATTACAGTTGGCTGGGTGTTTTCCTGGTCTTTTTGATATAGTTCACCTTTGGATCTTTGAATTAGTCTGAATAAGGTGATTGAACCGGCAAGAATTCGTTGCTACAGCAGTGTTTCCTCGAATAAGATGTTTCCCCCTGCAAACATTCCTTAATGGTGAACACTATTTTGGCTCAAGAATTTTCGCTTATTTCGAGCTTATTGTTTAGATCAATGCTGGCAAAAGGACAAAATAATAAGGAGAATAACAGACTGCACTTTCTAATCTAATGGCCACTATACATGTGATTTGGTGTTGTACCGAACTCTGACAATGACAAGGATGTCTAAAAACAAACTTGCGACGCTTCCGCGTTGTGCCATCTACCGGTCATTTGGAAAAAGGATACAGCTGACTAGCCATAGATCTGGCGAACTAGTAGCTGGTCGTGCAGGAAAAACTGTGAAAGAGATCCGAATGGATTTAACATGAAGATGAATGGCTCGGCATTTTGCTCACTCACCCCAATTTTACCTTGCCGCTGTATTTAAAGCAGTTTTTCAGCCAACCCTATGTTAGTCTGGTAGTTTTTCGCAGTTCTTCATTGTTCGTTAGTACCTCATGTAGACCTATTCTCTATACGCTAATTGTAAGTCCATCAATTCACCGATTCGTTCTCAGGATATCTCAAAGTTCTAAATACCGGTTCTCAAACTGTTAACACGTGAACATATGGTGTTATTTGATCTTTTTCCGAAGTGCGCTCATGCTGAACAAAACACTGCTGGAGCCCTTCGGACAGTCGATAGCATTTTACTTTGAGGTTTGTAAGTTTGCCAGTAAATATTGTGAAACGGGATGCAAATAGTTTATTTTTGTAGCAGCCAATTTTGTAACTAACTGAGAGTAGGTTGTGATTGATATTATATTTCAAACAAATTTCGTCTTGTTTCTTAGACGAATTGGCTTATCAGTACAATACTCTGAACAGACTGCCCTGAAAGCACGTACAAACGTCTCATCAAAGAGAAAGTTTTTCTTCCAGTTTTTCCTTTTTCTGTGGAATAACTAGAGTGATGACCAGAGGGATGGAGTTAGCCTGCATTTGATTTATCCATATGGCCTTTCTGAGTTTGTTATAGAGAATTACCCACTTTCGATTTAGAAACATCAGGCTTTACACACACTCACACTCAGAATCAATGCACTCAGGTCAGTGCGGACGGTCATTGACTGTTAAATGACCTACCTAAGGTTGAATGAGGGTGACAGAAAACGGTCTCGTAGCAAAACACCATTACGATACACCGAATAAAATAACTGTCCTTAATCTGCTCTCTGGACTACCAGCGTTCTCTTGTATAACGAATATGAAATTCTTATTTCCCAGACTACAGAGATCTCTGTTAGTTCTAATGAATTTTTAAATTTGTAACTTAAAGATTAATTTCACACAGTTGTTAAACACAAGGTAAAACGGAAGTTTTCGTCTGGTTGCATGATAAATAAAAGGCCATTCAACATCGTTTATTTGCTGAAAATTTCAAACAGCTGCACAAATCTAAAACTTAAGAGGCAGGAAAAAAATGCGTTTTGATCTGTTGAGAGCTTTAAAGTTGTTTTAAGAGCGAACCAGAAAATTTCCGACACAGATGAGTGTAAGAGTTGTAACAAAGTTGGAGAAACCTCAGTCCTTTTTGTTGTGGTTGGTGGAAACCAAGCCATCGGTTTAGATAAACTAAAGTTTTACCGCAACTGACAGCACCAAAAAGTGGATTTGATCAATATTTCGTTTAATTTAGTAGCGTTTAGGTACATTTAGTGAGTAATCTCCTCAAAGTTTTGCTGATTTCTGGTGAGTTGAATTTTTGGAAACATGGTGTAGTTCATTGTTGACAACCAAGTTTACTGACAAATCGATCTTCTAATTCTGCCTCTTATTTTTGTCCGTCCATCTTTGCAATCAGATGAAATAAATCTTCAAAACGTCCAGAAATACTAAGCATTCTGTTTGTTTTACGAACATTATTCTACACGGGTCTCTTTCAGTTTATAAACAAAATAATTACTATTAGTAATAAAAGCCTCGTCACTCTATTGGCGCCCCCGTTTGCGTTCAGCCATTTGTCTCTGTTACGTCAAACGAAACTCAGTTTTCTTACCTGGCGTAATGTCTTGTGGTAACTCAGTAGAACTGATGGCGTGTACGTGTTTTGTAACTGAATATGAAGAATCGTGTCGACCTAAACACTAATGGCTCCGTCATCCATAATAAGGGCAAACTTGGGATGGCTTACGCAATTTATTTAGAGCGGACATATTGTGCCGTACACATGAGGACTTGTAAGGTTTTTTTGGTTTAGAACCACCGAGAATGAGTTCAGGATGTAGTACTCACTTTCTTAGGCATTCATACTTTCAGTATTCCTGGTGTGCTGAAGTAATATGTTGGGATGCAGTTCAGCAAGTGGAGGCATGTGGGATTCGACAGCTGATTTCGTTTGTCCGAATGAAACACTGACAAAGTTTTGTGATGAAAGGAAGTACTAAGAGTCAGTCGAATTTGTCAAACTTCATGTGCAAAAACGATTAGTTCGCTATTTATGATTTAGGCGTAAGTCTGTGGTGTATTTTCAGATGGACATTATGGGGTGACGAGCTGTTTAAAACAGGTACTGCATACCATTGTCTACCGATGATTATTTAACAAAGTCTACGATGAAGGAAAGCCCCCATAACGGCTGTGAAAGTACGGAAGTTTCATGTCCAAAGGAGTATTTTTACAAGCTTAGTGTTGTGACATCGCGGATTTGTCCCCACTTTCACAAAAACATCTGCAGCGAGAAAAAAACACTGGAATAAAGATGGTTGTAATAGTTAGAACTGTGGTGGAACACATTCAAGGATTTAGTAAGACGTCTTTTGAAGAATATCTTATTGTTCTAAATGTTTCCCCATCGTTGATCTACTCATTTTAGACAATGTTGGGAAAGATATTAAGCGGTTGGAGCTGTTTTTCCGCGGTCCAGTTAACAGAGTTTGAAGGCTGTTACCTAGACAGCAGAGCCTTCCTTAAACGCCAAGTTGACTACTACACAAATTCCAATGACACTTGTCAGGAAGACTGTCCAGAGCATGGGCTATTTTTCTTTCCGCATAAGTTCCGAAATCCAAAAGGACTAGCAGTCGGCTGACATA